ATCTTTACACTGGAATGTAAGCTCTCTCAGGGCAGGGGATTGATTTTTTTCACTGTATCCCTGTGCTACAGCACAGTCTGGCACATAGTTGATTAATGAAATGTAGATGTTGGCCAGATGCAATTTCTTTTATTGGCCTGTGTTACAATATATAGCTTCTCTGTTCATCCACTTTGAGAAACAATGAAAAAACCAGAACCAGTTATGGAGAAATAGTACTGTGGACACTTAGAAGTGAAACTTGAAACAACCACTCTCTATTAAGTACCTACTTGTGTACCAGACATAGTATGTAAAACAGTCCCATGCCTGTGAGATCAGTATTCTGGCTTCCATTTTATAGTTGAGGAAAGTGGCTTGTATGAGCTCACACACCAACAGAGATCTCCCTGACTCCAAGGCTCATGCTCTTCCTAATTGACCAGGCTGAACCTTCTTCCTGGATCAGAGGACAAGCAGACTTAACTGGATCTAGTAGTGGAGCTCATCAGGCAAGATTTGTTTTTGTTGTACTTAGCATGAGGTAAAATTATCCCAATAATTTCAATCAAGTGTTCATCAAACTGAAAATTATTGTTAATATTTGGGTCAGGGACAGGAATGAATAGTATTTCTCTACTGGAGTGGGGGGGCGGAATAGAGACCATTGGCCAACCTTCATCAACCAGCATGACTTAAAAGGATTCTTCAGGAAAAAATAAATGAGAAGCTTTTCTTACCTATATTTTAGTGTGCAATAATGCTAATGGCTAATTTTGCTCTGGGCCTCTTGAACTCTACTTTCTAGTGTAGAAAGTGCATTTCTGGGCTATGTGTGGAGCATTGCCTAGGAGTTTGGTTTCCTGGGTTCCTTTCATCCGCTCTCTTGCAATGCAGGGGGAGCCTAGCCTGGTCTTCAGTTTCTGACTGGAGTTTGCACAGGCCAAGAACTGCTAGCCACTGAACTGTGAGTAATTTGCTTTTGAGAAGTAAATAGAGCCTTTGCCAGTAGAGAGCCCAGGGGTGTGGCCAGTAGTTCTTTTCCCAGGCTCCTCCCTCCCCACCCCTTAAATGACCTTAACCTTCTTTCAGAGCTGGAGAGCAGCCAAGTCTGGCCTAAACAATACTCTCAACCTCATTGGCTCTTTTGCCTTGCAGCCACTGCCACCCCTAAGTGGCTAAGGCCCTTCCCACTAGGCCTCTCAGTGGGGTCAAGGTTTTCTAACTACTGAAAGGCAAACACCAAAGAAAGGGTGAAAAATAACCTCATGTCCATGGCCTTTAAAGGATCAGTGTTTGGGTCCTGCATTTGGGAGGTAGGGTAGGATCTTCGTCCTGGGATGGATGGACATCTTCAAGTGGTGTAGCTGATGCCCAAAACAGGCTTTTGACCAATACAGGTTTCAGGATGGATGTAAATGTTACCCAGCATCCTTGGAAACTGCCAGTGAATGCCTTTTGTCCATAACAAAAAGAAGTAGCATGAAGTTTTGGTAAGGCACAGCTGCCTATCATCACAGTCATTAGTGCTGCCTGCTAACAGTTGGCAGTGACAGGTATCAGAGGCCTGTGTGGTCACTTTTGTCCTATAATGACATGGCCTCAAAGCCAAAGTCCCAAATCAGGGTCAGCTTCTCCAATATTCAAATAGGAATGAGGTCATGGAAAGTTTAGTGTCTGGAAACTGAGCTATTGAGAATAGATAGACTGGGCTGTTCCTCCACTCAGCCTGAGGCCAAGGCCACCTCCAGATGTAGCAGGAGCAAGGTAACTGCTAGAGAGAGAAATGAGTTGTCAGATTGCTTCAAGGATGAAAGTGTTCCATAAGAACTTTCCTCCATACCTTCAGTGAAAAAATCACTCCTTTTTTCATTCAGAGAGGTATAACAGCCCATCCTTACTAAGCACTTTATACCAAGCGCTATAAAATCCATGAGGTAGATATTTCCATGAGGACAAGAACTGTATCTGCCTTGCTCGGTGTTACATCCTCATTCCCTCTGCCAGAGTAGACCCTCCCATTTTGTTGAATAAATCAAGCAGGTAAGAGGAATTCAGTGGAGGAAAGAGTAGTTAGGAATTGGTGTGTCCTGTGTAATATTCTTGGCATAGCATGTAAAGACTTGGTCATGTGAAAAAAAGAGAGGAAGAGATACACTTGAGAAACCTTAAAATAGGAGTTTTTCTTGGGGAGAGGGGCGGGGGGAACAGCTTGGGAGGCTAGAAACCTCAAATAGTGGCCACCTCTGCCTCTAGCTATGTAACTTCAGGCCAGTCATTTCCCCTGAGTCTTAGTTCCTGCATCCATAAAACACAGGTATCAGGTTAAACAAACTGATTTATTCACCAGATCTTCATTGAGTACTTACAATGTGCAAAGCACTGTTCTAAGTGCTAGTAATACTTTGAACAAGGCCCCCACTCAGAGCTTACATTCCATAACAGGAAAACAGACAAGTAAAACTCATGGACAGGACAACCAAGTGGTGATGAGTGCTATGAAGAAAACAGAGCAGGGTAATGGAAGGTATAGGGTGGTGGTTGTGACTGGATAGTCAGGGAAGGCCTCTGTGAGGAAGTGACATTCAGCTGACATCTGAATGCAGTGAGCTTGCCAAAGGGTGGTCTTGCTGTGAAGTGTTTCAAGCAAGAGCAGAGCCAGGCAATTTCAAGAAACAGAAATGCTGTAACTCTTACATTCTAGGATTCTAGAAACAGTGATGCATTGTTTGTGCACTGTTTAGGTCAGGGATTTGTATTATGAAATTGTTTCTTGGTGGTGCAGGATATTTGCTTCTTAATGGAAGTGGCTGGGTGGTGTAAAGTCTTTCTGCAGCCTTGGGATACATCTCTGTCTCCCTTGCTCTCCCACAGTGCTGGTCGCTCAGCTGGCTCACTGTGTAGATGCAGGCTCCATTTTAGCTGCTGACTCTAAAAGCAGACTAGAGAAAGTTGCCTCTTCTACTACTTACTCACAGCCTTGGAGGCCCAGAACCCCCTCCCATCCCACCTGCCTAGCCTTCTATTCTAACAAGCTAGGATTTTGAGAGCACAAGATTCCGCTTCCTTGTTTTCCTGTTAAAGCAGGAGCCAGAAAATGAAACAGGAAACAGAGTGGGGGGGGGGGGGATGGGGAGGCGTGGATAGCAGAGAAGGAAAGGAAGGAAAAATTGCAGGAAGGTAGAGCTGAAGATCTGGACAAAGTTCTACCTCTAAAGGGTGACAGTTGAGCAGTTGAGCTTTTAGAAAACATTCTGACATCACAAGAGACGTTTGTCCTTTTTACAAATAAATTTTTGAGAGGATTTAGTGTGGGGAGAGGGAAATTTAAGAATGCATGTCTTTAGTCCTGGCTTGTATGGCTCAGTAGACTGAGCATTGGCCTGCAAATCAAAAGGCCTCTGGTTTGATTCCTGGTCAGTGCACATGCCTGGGTTGCAGGTCAAGCCCCCAGTTGGGGGCATGCAAGAAGCAACCAGTTGATGTTTTTCTTCCTCTCTCCCTTCCTCACCCTCTCTAAAAATAAACAAACTGTTTACAATAGCCAAGTGCTGGAACAGCCTAGGTGCCCATCAGTAAATGAGTGGGTCAAAAAACTGGGGTACATTTACGCAAAAGAATACTACACAGGCGACAGCATGGATAGAATTGGGGAGTATTATGCTAAATGAAATAAGCCAGACAGTGAAAGACAGATACCAAATGATCTTACCTATAAGTGGAACCTAATCATCAAAACAAATGAGCAAAGAACAACCAGGGACATGGAAATAAAGAACAAACTGACTGAGGCCAGAGGGGAGGGGGAAAGGATAACGGGGAAAGAAGGGGAAGGGTCAAGTCAAAGAACCAAGGAAAATGTACACAGGACTCATGGACAAAGACAATGGGGTGGGGATTGTCTTTGGGAGCAAGGGTTAGATGAGGCAGAGGAGAGCAATGGGGCGAGGGGGGTGGAATGGAAACAACCGTAACTGAACAACAATAAAAAAAAAATCCTCTGGTTTTTCTGAAATTCTCGTACAGTATTTTTCAGGGGTTTTTTTTTGAGGCATTTAAATAAATTTTTGTGCTAAAGATCTACTTAAAAATAAATAAAACTTTTTTATAAAAAAATGCATATCTTTACCCCATGTGAATTCACAAAGCAGGGACAGTTCATTTCTCAATTTTGTCTTTGCAAGTAGAGTGCTGCTTGGAGCCCCGCGGACATCTAGAGTCTCAGGCCACAACTTTAGGCCTGGCCAGTTATGAATGAGCCCTGAAGCTTTGCCAATTCACTCACAGGCCTCTGGAGCTGAAAGCAAGTGTGTGTCACTGAAAGCCTGGGGGAAGAATCTTCTAAACTCCATTTTTTTCCCTTCTCCAATGCACAACTAAAATGTGATTTATATTTTATCTACCTTACACACGACAAATACCTGAAGGGCAGTTTAGGTCTCAAAGCTTGAAATGAGTTACAAAGAATCAAAACAGTCCTGGCCAGTGTGGCTCAATTGATTGCCGGCCTGTGAACCTAAAGGTCGCTGGTTCAAGTCCCAGACAGGCCATATTCCTGGGTTTCGAGGCCAAGTGCCTTCCCCTCTCTTTAAATAAATAAAAAATGTTTTTGGTTTTTTTTTTTTTAAATCAAAAGATACAGTCCCCAGTCCCCCAAAAAACTCATCTGGTCTAGTTTTTTTTGCCTGAGAGAGAGCAACCACCTCCTTTGTTCCCACCCACAAGAGTAGCTGTTGTGGAAGATAAACCCCTCCCTCAGCCCGGGTTGTGGCTAGAAGCTAACCCAGCCCCTAGCTTCGTTTGGAGGGCAGATAACTGAAACCACAGAAGGCTTTGGAATCCTGAGAAACAAGAAATTCACCAACGAAGAAGGATTTATTATCTATTTCCTTTAAGTAGGGTGCAAAGTTGTTCTAACAGTTTCCGTTGCATGGGTACCAACTGGCCGCTCCTCCCTAACAGACAGTTTTGTTGAGTTAGCTTCTTTTTTTCTTTTTCTTTTGGCCCCGCTTCCTGCAAGAGAAACTGCTTGAATGAGGAAGGAGAAGGGAGTCCTGTGGGATGTCCTCTGAAGTTTCCTTCACCATCCTCATTAGCCACCTGAGGTGGGGCTGGAGGTTGAAGTAGGACAGAAGGTCCCTGGTAGCTGCAAGAGTGGAAAGTCAGGGATCCCCTACTTTCTTCACACCCACGACGTAGGGTGCCGCTGCTGGCCACAGGAACCCCAAGAAAGCTTTTCTTTCTATTCTCAGAACATCTGTTGTGTGCCAGACGCTGTGCTGAGCTGTTGTTGCCTGACAGCAGGGAAAGTGCAGCTCTGGCTTCTGTAAAGAAGGGCCACGGGGCAGCCCCTAACTCCAAGAGCCTAGGCACACATCGGGAGCTCAGTGAATGTTTGCGGGATGGAACGGGAAAAGAACATCGACTCTAAGACAGCAGCCCCGGGAGACTAACTGAAGGCGGAAGAGGGGGGCCTGAGTAGCGTGCAGTGCGGGGGTAGAAGTCTCCAGGTGTCACCACGGAAGAAAGGTGCCAAGGCAGAGGGGCGCGGCGTGGAGGAACTCTGCAGTCCCCGCCCCACTTGCCCGGAGTCATCATGGCCGCCGCGGAGGAGGCAGCTCCGAGTGCGGGCAGGAGAGGGGCGAAGCGGACGTCGGCGGAGCCAGTGCGCAGGCGTGGTCCTCCTGAGGCCCCCGGATGGAAAAACCAAGGTTTGGGCCCTGCCTGGGACACTGAGACACACTGGCGCTGGGGACCGGGTGCCGGCGTGGGAGCCTTAAATTTCTTGGGGGAGGGAACTTGTCAAACGGCGGCCGAAGGAAATGAGGCGGAGGCCGCCCGGGCCCGGGAAGACCCGCCCCTCCGCCATAGCGGCCTCCAGGTGCCGCCTCTTCCTTTACAGTCCCGCCCTCCCCTGTCTTCCGCCCCTGCGGCCAGGCCTGGCCTTTCCGGCCCCCTCAGAAATAGTCCTTGGGTACTTAGGGGAGAGGAGATACCCGATTCCCGCTTGGGACTATGTCCGAAAGAAGCGGGCTAGAATGGGCTTTAGGCGCGGCTGGGCTGGCAGGAGGCGGTCCCTGGCTCGCGACGGCCCGCGAGACCTCTGGCCTTGAGAACCCTTGGTTGAGCCACTTCCGCACCCCACAGAGGATGTTAGTCTTACCCAGAGAGCCCAGGGCTTTAATTCGGCAGGCTTCCCTGTGTTCTCAAATAGGGCCCTCTCTACCCTCAAAATACCCAGCAAGAGCTTCGCGGTCATTGAACAAGTACCTGGCTGGATTTGGGAGACCTGGGTTGTAATCCTGTCCAAAAAAAAAAAAAAAAAGCACGTCCCCTTTGGCCGGGGTTCGGCCTGGTGGGAAGACCATGAGGGTTCAGAATTCAAAAACAAACGAAACACACCCGACATTCTCTTTTAAATAGAGCTTTGGGTGTGTCTCGACCCCAAGAGCCTCAGTTTCCATATCTATAAAATGGCGATGGTAACTATACTGACCTCACAGGTGTAGCTCTGATGTAAAACTATGGAGATTTTTATTACTTCTCTGGGGCATATTTATCTCGCGTGAAAAGAGTGAAACAAGTTGCTCCCTGTCCTGCCAGTTCAGAGAGTCATTTGGCAAAGGGGTTGTTGGGAAGTCGAGACTAGCAATTAACTGAAAAGGAAAACTCACTGGCATTATTTTGTTTTTACTTGGTTTACCTGTAAACTAAGCGTAGGCTACAAGTTTCCTGCGGTCGCTGGGGCTAGTGCTTGACTCTGGAGAGAGGAAGGAAGAATGGCAGCCTGGTGAAGAGGCAGAGGTGGGTTGTGCTTTTCTGTTTTCAACCTCTATGCATGTATGTGGGTGGGAAGTAACGAAGGAAAAAATATGAATTCACCCAAGGATAGAGACCCAGCGGCCTGTGACGTTCGCTGTGCCTGTTTCTACGATTCCTTTCGATTCAGCGAGTCAGTGTTGGAAATGGTGGGTAGATTCACAAACGACCTCCGCTCTCTGGGGTTTTCAGAAGGTTGCCTTTGAACTGAATTTTGATGAGCAAACCCGCGTGGCGTTGGTGGCCCCTCCCTTCCTCTAGGCTTCCTGGTGATGGAGTAAGCAGCGGGCTCCCCCTCGTGCTGAGGATATGTACTGTTGTCATTGGCACGCCTTGCTCCCTTTCTGGAGAAATTTTATTTTCCTGTGGCTTCTGTGACTTTGTAGTCTTGCTATTAACGTGAGTATGGTGAGAGAACTATTGGAGCAGTGACTTTATATCCAGAGCCAATGAACTGGTGATGCCACCTCCTGTTCTTGCCACTTCTATTCAATCAGAACACAGGCTTAAAATGTCTGTTTGTATGCTAGGCCCTGGGGATATAGTTGTCAGCAAGATAGACAAAGCCCTTCCAAGCAACTTAATTAAGCAATAGCAGTAAAGACCACAAGGCAGAATGCAATAAGAGCGTATCACATAGTCTAGTGAGGGTCAGAGAAGAATTCCAGAAACAAGTGATTCCTAAAGGTTTGTTAGGTATTAGCAAGATAAGAGAAGAAAGAAAAGTCTTCCAGTCCTTCCTGTGAATTTCTCAGTTTAAGTATTTTTTTTTCCTTGAGGGATAGAGCCTCGATGCACATTGGGAACTCAGTGGATATTTGCAGGATGGAACTGGGGGAAGAACACCAAGTCAGAGAGTTGCCTCTGATGCTCTTGTTCTCCCTTCTGATTTCCTCAATTGGTTCTGTAGAAGCCATTGCTACTTCTTTTAGCCCAAGGAATTGTTTTTTTTAAAAAAAAGCTTTGAAGTGCATTCCTTGCCTCAGAATGGCTTTGCAACTGTTTGGATGTTGTTGCCATTACAACAAAGAGATGGGACATAAGTATTCTCCATCCCTAGTAGTCAACTCTGCCTTCCCTCAAAGTTTGTTTTAGCAGTGTGAGCTGGCTGAAGTCCTGCCAAGTGGTGGTTTTCTTTCCCTTCTCCACTTAATTTAACAGACCAGCTGAACATACATCAGAGAGCTAAGCTGGAGTGTATAGTCATTATGGTCTTCCAGTTCAGTTCTTTGCCCCATTTTGGGGACTCTGGTTTGTGACCTAGTTTATTATTTTGCGCAAGGGGGAAAGGGCACAAAATAACAGCAACCACAATACAGATGTAGTGGTACTTCACACATTAGTCCATTTCACCATCATAATAATTTTGTGAGACGGGCAAAATAATCTGATCCCATTTTATACATAAAGAACTGAGGCTTAGAAGAGCTTGTGAATAACAGAGCCAGGACTTGAACCCAGGTCTTTAGTTTCTGCATTAGGGGCACTCAACAGGCTTTTTAAAGATTTTCTGTGAGTTTAGCTTTCCAGTTTCATGTTTATCTGTGTGGAACTTTCCCAACAAGAGTATAGTACTTCAGAATGACACCAAGTGACATCTGCCTCCAAGATGCTTTTGGGAAGCATCCCAAGATGCATCTGGGAAGTTAAGTGGTTAAATTTTCCTAGTAATGCGGAAGAGGGAGTCTCCTGTGAAGAATGTTTCCCCAAGAATCTACTTTTAGCCCATGTGTGACATTTCCTCCTTGGGTTTTGGAGTTCAGAAACCTGAGGGAGCTCAGTCCCGGCAGCAACACCCCTGAATTCCTGCGAGAGGATGTGGCCCCTGGACGAGTCCCAGAAAGAGGTGCTGAGGTTTGCAGTCAGCTGCCGTGTCCTGACTCTGGTGCTGCAGGTCAGTCTCCGATCTTCTGCGCTGAACATGCTGTTGCCACATGACTGGGCTAGACACTAAGAATAGTCCCCATCTTCTTTTTATCTTCCAGGTGTGCCCCTCCATGTGGTTGGAACCATAGACACTTAGGCTTCATAGCTGAAAAATGGGCAGGACTCTTAGGAATGGTGTATTAGCCCTTTGTTTTACACATGAAGCAGCAAAGGCCCAGAAAAGTTGAATGGCTTCCCTGAAGTCACATAGCAAGTTAGAGAAGGGCCAGACTCAGACCCCAGGTTTTCTAACTCTTGATCTAGTGGTCTTTGCAGCAGACCACGATGTCCCATAACCAGAGATGCCATTAGAGTGTGACAGCTCAAAGCATTGCCCTGGGTCCCCTAACCAAGAGACTGAGCACTGTGTCAGTCAGTTGAGTGGGAAAGAGGCGGCACTGTCCTGAGACCATCTGTGTGTATTTGTTTAGTTAGTAGTGCCACCTGGTCTTCCCCCAGGTGTTTCCCCTTGCAGCCTCACCCACACACAGCCCTCAGAATGCATTCGCACTTTTGCAAAACTCCCTTTCCCCTGTCCTTATATATATTTTAATCAAATTTCATATGTGTATGAATTATATCCAGTGCCTAGCACAGTGCCCAGTGCTTAGTAGGTTCTCAGTATGTGTTGTTGAATGTAGTCAACACCCTAGATATATTATATTAGCATAATTACGTGTGCCTTTTATCACAAGCTTCATTCCCTCTGAGGCTCATAGCTGGTTCCTTTGTGGAAATCGCCTTTCCTCTCTCCTCCCTCACTACAGGAGACATAGTAGGCTCTGCTGGCTCCCAGGTTTAGTGAAAAGTATCTTCAGCTTGGAGATTAGGGCTGATATCTGTGACTGTCACTCCTGTCCCCTTTGTTTACACTGTTTGAAATGGCCTGATTACAAAAACAAATAAGTAAGTAAACTGACCAAAAACAGAAAGAGCCTTAAAAATGAGGTTGTATTCCTGGTGCCAGGCTGGAGAAAGTGGCTTGGCGATAACTGTGATTGGCAGACCCAGTGGAGCAATACTGTGAATCGGCATCTGGGATAGGGAACCAGGACAGCTGGGTTCTAATTCAGATGGAGATTTCGAAACAAGGATGTTTTCTAGACTGTTCACTCAATCATCGTAAGTTATTAAGTACTTACTCATGCTAGGTGGTGAGCATAAAAGTCATGGTCTGTTTTCCCTAAAGTAACTGACAATCTAATGTGGCAAAAAGACATTTAACAATAATGTTATTTTGTTACTTCTCCCACTGTGCTCCCCTTCCAGGTTTAAAGCTCATGCCATCAGAATATATTGCTAGTTACCCTTCATTGTTGCTGTCATCTGTGTTAATGACAGCTCATTCCTCCTCATTCTTAAGGTTTTACCTCCTGATTCACAGTTTCTATCCAGCACAACTGTTGATTTCTTGGTAGTTTGAATATTAATAAAGCTGATACACCTGACTACTATCTTCTCTCTTTGCAGCTCATTTTCTCAGCATGCCAGCTCTAACGATTCTTCCAACCCCTCAGGATTTATAATCCATTGATTCTACCACTGTTTCATTGATTCTCACCCACCTCAAGGCTTCAGCTTCACTTTTTACTCAGCTTAGATTCCGTGCTCCATCACGCATCCCCGCATAGCTCACTTGCTCTCTTCTCCCTATGTCCAACCTTGGTTAAATTCAGTTCTGTGTCTGTTCCATGCCTGCACCTTCCCAGAGTAAAACACACCTATAGTAACTAGTTTCCTTTTATTGAAAATCATTAACACAAGTGAGTCCCTAGTGCCACCTGGTAATGTTAGTATATTTCCTTGGTCCACTCACCGCCCCCTCCCCATTTTTCTGCACATCAGAATCGCCTGGGAGAGCTCAGTGCCCAGGCTGTACCCAATACCAGTGAAATTATTAACTCTGGGGGAGGAACCCAGGCATCAGTATTTGTAAAACTACCTGGGTAATTCCAGTGCACAGTCTATTTTGAGAACTAGGGTCAAGTCTCTAGCATCTTTTCTCCAAATTGCTTTTTTGAATGAAAACTCAGAAAAGTAGAAACAATCAGAAGCAAATTTCTGCATGCCTGCACCGCGTCCATCAGTATACCTACATCTTCCCTCTGCGGAAGGTTGGGCCAGCTGTCTGTCCTCTCCAAGGCTAGCTCTACAGCCTGTGCAGCAGATTCCATCCTCTTTCGCCTGCTCCAGCAATCCTCCGCTCCCTTTCTTGTGTACTCATTTCCTTTCAACTGGATTATTCCCATTAGTAAACAAATACTTATCTCCCAACTTAAAAAACAATGTAAAGAAAAGATTTCTCTTTACCCCCACATTGTCATTCACCGACTAACCCTTTCTCTGCCTCTCTTTATAGCAAACTTCCTCCAACTAGTTGTCTGCATGCACTATCTCCCTTCTCCCCTTTGCTGTTGAACCCAGCCTAAAAAATCTTCTTTCTCTTCCACCCCACTGAAATCAAAGTCACTAGTGACCTTCACATTGCTAAGTCTAGTGGCCAGTTTTCAGTCCCCTTCTTATGTAACCTGTTGGCAGCATTTCGCAGAGCTGATCACTCTCTTGCTTCACTTGGTTCTAAGACACCAGGCTCTCCTGGTTTTCCCCTTATCTCACTGACTGGTCCTTCTTTATCTTCAATGCTAGATCTTTACCCTGTCTTGAGTCACTAAATGTTGATGTGTCCAAGGCCCAGTCCTCAGATCTCTTCTCTTCTCTATGTGTACTTTCTAGTGCTCTCATTTAGTCTCATACCTTTAAATACCACCCCAGTACTTATATCTCCCAAATTTATATCTCTAGCCCTGATCACTCTCCTGACCTTCAGACTCATACATCTCACTGCCTTGTTGACCTCTGCTCTGGAATGTCCAACTGAAACTTAACCAGCCCAAAACTGAACTGATTCCCCCCAACAGATCTGTTCTTCTTCATTTTATTAAAAAGTAATTCTTTTCTTCCAGTTGTTAAATGAAAATCCTGGTTCTCCTTCATCCCACAGGCTCTCTTCAATGCCATCATCCCGGATCACCGTGCAGAAGCCTTCTCTCCTCCTCGCCTCGCTCCCTCGGGCTCTGTGGACCGACTTGTGGAAGGTCTCCTGGGTGGCCTGTCTCACTGGGATGCTGAACACTTTCTGTTCATTGCTGAGCATGGCTACCTGTATGAGCACAACTTTGCCTTCTTCCCTGGTTTCCCCCTGGTCCTGTTGATGGGGACTGAACTGCTGAGACCCCTGAGGGGGTTACTGAGCCTACGGAGTTGCCTGTTAATCTCAGTAGCATTGCTCAATTCCTTGTTCTCTATCCTGGCTGCAGTTGCACTTCATGACCTGGGCTGTCTGGTTTTGCACTGTCCCCGCCAGGCCTTTTATGGAGCACTGCTTTTCTGCCTCAGTCCTGCCAATGTCTTCCTGGCTGCCGGTTACTCAGAAGCTTTGTTTGCCCTCCTGACATTCACCGCCATGGGGCAGCTGGAAAGGGGCCGAAGCTGGACTACTGGACTTCTCTTTGCCCTTGCTGCCGGTGTACGCTCCAATGGGCTGGTCAGTGTTGGCTTCCTCATTCATTCTCAGTGCCGAGGCTTTTTCTCTTCTCTCATGGTACTGAATCCTCTGAGACAGGTCTTGAAGCTAATGGGCTCTGTGTTCCTGTCCATGCTGACACTTGGCCTTCCCTTTGCCCTGTTTCAGTATTATGCCTACACCCAGTTCTGTCTACCAGGCTCAGTCCACTCCATCCCTGAGCCCTTGCTGCAGTTAGCTTTGGACAAGGGCTACCGAATTGCAAAGGGAAACAAGCCTCCTTGGTGCTACTGGGAACTTCCCCTAATATACAGCTATATTCAGGATATCTACTGGAATGTTGGCTTTTTGAGATACTATGAGCTTAAGCAGGTGCCCAATTTTTTGCTGGCCGCACCAGTGGCTATACTGGTTGCCTGGGCAACTTGGACATATGTGACCACCTACCCTTGGTTCTGCCTTACACTTGGGATGCGAAGGAACAAGAACAATGAGACCCTAGAGAAGCCTGATCCTGGATTCCTCAGTCCTCAGGTGTTTGTGTACCTGGTCCACGCTGTAGCACTGCTTCTCTTTGGCAGTTTGTGCATGCACGTTCAGGTGAGGTGGATTCCTGGCTGGGACAGGATGTGAATACAGGCAAAACCCCTGGGCCAGGGGTGGGGAAGAGAGCTAATTTTTCCCATTTGAGTGATCTATGCCTAATTTATGTATTCAACAATTATGTAGGGGCTTTCTTTGTGCTAGACCATGGGTCACACCACAGAGGATGAGACATGAATAAGATAAGATTGCTGCTCACCTTGGCTGGTGTGGTTCAGTGGATTGAGTCACTGGTTCCATTCCCAGTCATGGCACATGTGTGGGTTGCAGGCCAGGTTCCCAGTTGGGGGCATGCGAGAGGCAACCGATCAGTATATCTCTTGCACATTGATGTTTCTGTCCCTCTCTTTCTTCTTTCCCCTCTCTCTAAGAAGTAAATAAATAAAATCTTTAAAAAAAAAAAAAAAAAAGGCACTAGCTTGTGTGGCTTGGTGGATTGAGGGCTGGCTTGCAAACCAAAGGGTTGCTGGTTCAATTCCCAGTGTAGGGCACATGCCTGGGTTGTAGGCCAGGTCCCCAGCCAGGGGGGTGTGTGAGAGGCAACTATACATTGATGTTTCTCTCCCTCTCTTTCCCTCTCTAAAAATAAATAAGTAAAATCTTTAAAAAAAAAAAAAAAAAAAAAAAAGATTGCTGCCCCAGTGGATCTTATGGTAGAAATTGGAGACAGACATGTAACAGATAAAATTAGAGCACAGTGGAATGGGAGGGGACTTGCTTTTTTTTGAGAAAAATTACTATGGAAGCACAGAGGAAAAAAGCTGATTGAAGGAGGGCATCATATTTAGGCCAGGTTATAAAGAATAAGCAAATTCCATTTAAGAAGCAAAGTAAGAACATTCTGGGCAAATGAAGGATATGGGCAAAGACATGAGAGTTGTGAAAGGACCTGATTTGACTGAGATATAGGAATAAGCACAGAGAATACCTCTGGGACCTTCCCCTAATACATAGTTATACCCAGAATATCAACTTGATAGTTGACTTTCTGAGGTATCCTGAGTGGGTGCTCAATTTTCAGAGGAGATGTCTTGTGCACAGTTGTGGGGGGCAGTGGCAGTAGAGAGGGATGGAAAGAGTTTGATCATTCATTTGATTTTTTTGTTGTTGTTCCTGGCTGTGGTCCCAGTTTCAACTTAACCCTAAGGAAGTATTTTTTTCTCCATGCTGGCCACTCCTTAGCAGTTTCTGCCTCTTGGAGGCACACATCGGCTGTTTGTAAAGTTCTCTGAGTTGTGTGAATAAAAGGCACAGAGGAACAGAAAGTAGCATTCTGTATTTGTAGCTGGATTAGCTAGTAGAGGGAATACCAGCAAAGCTTAGCGTTTCCAGGTAGATGAGGGAGGCCATTTGGCTCTAAACTCCTCCAGAAGAGGGACTGTTGAGCAATAGTATCCTCTGTCCCCTTTCCTTCTGCTTTGCCACCCTCACACAATGAGGGAACCACCTTAGGCTCCCAAAGCTCCACATAACAGCCTAGAGTTTATAGTTCAGGCCCTGGTCTAAAATAGGACCCCACAGAGCTTTTTTTATATTGATTTACACATTACTGTGGTAATTAGTCTATAGCGTGTTTATTTATAACATTGAGGTCACCTGGTTGGTATCATGTACCGCTTTGTAAGGCAGATCCTAAGCTCTATTAAATTTTGCGTCCAGTGTAATTAATGTCTAGTCATGGGGTTATAGTTCACCCAGCAGCAGGGAAGCCCTAGGCTGGTCCAATTTGAGTCAGTGACATTCCAATAAATGTGTGGGTTTCCCCCTTTTATGATTTCCAGGTTCTCACCAGGTTTTTGGGCTCCTCCACACCTATTGTGTACTGGTTTGCAGCTCACTTGCTTCAGGACCGAGAGCCACTGCTGAGATCCCTAGAGACGATGCCCTGGAAGCCTGTTGCAGGGGACTCCCCACCAGGACAAAAGGTCCCTAGAAATTCTATCATGGGACTTTTGTACAACTGGAAAACCTGTTCTCTAGTCACACGATGCATTCTAGGCTACTTCCTGACTTACTGGCTCCTGGGACTACTCCTACATTGCAACTTCCTGCCTTGGACATGACCTAGAATTTCAGGGGACAGACTTAATGCCAACCAAACCAGGTCTGAAAGTACAAATACATAAATACACTGCCTGCACTGCCTTGGGATTCTTACTCTGTCCATTAGAACCTCTTTCTCTATTTGAAGGCTGGTTAGGAATGGGAGCAGTATGAGCCACTAGAGAGCCCCTAATGGTCCTGGCTATGGAAAATTTTAGGGTAGTAAGTATTTTCACAGAAAGTGAAAGCAATCTTATTCTAAATCTAAAGTATACCTTGATCTGTCTCTTTAACCAAGCACAGCAGAGAGAGCCTTGAACTTACCAGTGATCCACTTGTAAATTTAAACATAAATTTCGTCAAAGGCTCTAGCTAACAGGCTACTAATAGTCCACACATGATGGCAGAGGTCTGAACAGTGTAGTGGCAATAATAAGTAAAGTGCGACCTTCTTTTCTAAATGGGACATTGTTGCCCTGGCCTCAGGGCATGAGCCTGGGTGTCAGGTTTGGTCCCTGGTCAGAGCACGTAAGAAAGGCAGGCAGCCAGTCGATGTTTCTCTCTCGTGTTGGTGTTCCTCTCCCTCTTTCCCTCCCTTCTCCTCTCTCTAAAAATAAATAAAATCTTTAAAAAAAAAATTTTTAATGTGTCATTGTTCCTGATATATTTAATGATTTGTTAATGTATTTATATAAGAAGTCTTACAAAGATATGCAGATTAAACAACTTTTGGTTATATGAGCAATCAATACCTTTTTAAAAATAATACAAATTATGTCTGGCTGGTGTGGCTCAGTGGACTGAGCCGGCCTGTGAACCAAAAGGTCACTGGTTTGATTCCCAGTCAGGGCACATGCCTGGGTTGTGGGCCAACTCCCCAGTTGGGAGTGCTTAAGAGGCAACCACACATTGATGTTTCTCTCCCTCTCTCCCTCCCTTTCTCTCTAAAAATAAATAAAATCTGAAAAAATAATAATACAAATTACTTGGGGAAAAAAGTCATAGTAGAAAGCACTGCACAAGGAAGCAGGAGACCTGGATTCTAGTCCTCGCAGTAAAACCCGCTTACCAGCTATGTGACCTTGGGAGAGTGCTCAGAGCCTCAGTTACCTCTTCTGAAACTAAGGGAAATGATACTATCCCAAAAGCCAGCGGGGGCGGGAGGTGGGGGCGGCGGTAGGGAAGGGGAATGAACCCCATACTTGACATACTTGTAGGTCCCTTTCTCCTTTAATATCTTAAGAGCGGCCTTAAACAATGGAATCATCCCAGTCTAAACACTTTTGTGGAGGCTCAAATGAGACTTCAGGAGAATTTATTCAGTTTTGCTTTCAGCATTTAAAAGAAGCTCTCCCCTTCATGGGTGCAACTCGGGAGTAACTTAAGTGAACTTTTCTTGGAATGAGGGAAAACAGTGATACCTGGCAAATAAGGCTCCTGTTCTGCATAAGTAAACCTGTGCCAGGCAACTAAATAGTCAAAGCAGTGACTGGTTTGCCTTCTGTGCCCAAGTACCTGTGCTTGCTTAATTGGTAGACATGGGTCCGAGGAGCCCACATGGCAGCATGAACTGATAAATTGTAGTTAAATCCAAGGTTGAATGAAATGGTATCTGACTGCCCCATTGGTTATGAGCCCATCACTTTAGTGGTAGTAAGATCCTTGACTCCTGCTGTACTATTTTTTGCTCATTCTTTTTTTATTTTATTTTTATACTCACCAGAGGACATGTCCATCGATTTTTAAAAAGAGGGGGAGGGATGGAGATAAACATCTATGGGATGAAAGAGAGAACCATCCAGGGACCAAATCCACAACCTAGGCATGTGCCCTGATTTGGAATCGAACCCATGACCTTTCAGTTTACGGGATGACACTCCAACCAACTCAGCCATACTGGCTAGGGCTGCTCACTCTGAGCCAAGTAAGAGGCTCTCCACATCATAACCACTCCTTCCCTATTTGAGCAAAAAAATTCCATCAAAGTAAGTGGTTAATCATAAGCAGCTTCTGGAGAGCCCTGAGAATTGGAATTTTGACACGCTCCCTCTGACCATGACAGAAAGCTAAACTTGCCAGCTGAAGGGAAGTTCCTGGCTGAGTCCCAGCACCCTCTGTTGGAGCTTCTAGTCAGCCTGGCCAATAAACATTTCCCATCCATTGCCCCAGCTTTAGCACAGCTGAGAGAATTTGGTCCAGAGTCAAATGCTTTTGAAAATGTACACACAGATTGGGGCAGCCCTCTGCCTTCTGCCAAGACACCCGAGTGCCCTTCTTGGCAAAAAATCATCCCTGCCCTAGTGTCCTTCCAGTTGGCAGAAATTTTTCCCTCCCTCCTCACCAACAGCTGCAAATCCAGGGACTTCCACCCTGTGTGCAGGAAGAGCTGAGGTCCTGTTTCAGCTCTTCGTTGCAGAGGAAGGAGCACTATACTCTGCTCTCATGCATTCTCCTCTTTGCCTCTTCCTGGTGGATAAACACTCCACAGAGTAGGGAGTGATTTCACTGCTCTGGCAGTCTCAGCTTCACCTTTATACTAGATCTCATCACCCCCAGAAAAAAAGTGATTTCAGGACTAGAGACCCTACAAATGGGAATTCCATCTTCTCAACTAAATCACACTGGTATTCAGCAAAGACCATTATGGTTTCAGTTGACCACGGAGGATATAACTGAGGACCCCAGCTTGGTGGACGCACCTGCGTGACCTAGAGACAACACGGTTTTCTCTTTGACCTTGGAGAGATGGAGTTGCTCCTCTCTAAGGATCTAAGGAATGGGCTGATTTTATGGCCAGCAGCTGTCCTTTTACCATCCTTTTAACAGTCTTTAATAGTCTGGGAGAGGGACATGAAGGGCCCAAGGCAGGAAGCTTCCTGTTTACCCTGAGGTCTAACAATGCTGCGGCTGGGTTGGGCTTCTACAATTTCAGAGAAAAGTAATTTCCTTCTCTGAGACCCAGCTAAAACAGAAACCAGAGCTTCATGTATCTAGAAGTGGATGCTTTTTTGTTCTTTAATGAAGGTGGGAGGAGGGGGAGTGTTTGACATGTCTTCACCAGTCCCCCTGGGAGGGAAATCACTCCTTTCCTTGAACAGGCCTCTCACCTTCATCTAAAAATGTAATGTGTGCAGGCTCAAGGGATTTGAAGCTGACTGATTCTTTCAGCAATTGTTTATTCCTATTTTAGGGGGATAAAATGACTCACTGTGCCTCCCGTCCTCAAATAACTGTCTCATAGAGTTGCTAGCAGATACACAGAAATATTAATCAAGATAGAAACTGATCAATTCTGGAAAATAGAGGGATATTTAAATATCTTGCTCTACATCGTTCTACATAAACTTTTTATGATGAAGATGAATCAAAGTTTTACTGGTATGCTTAGGAAAAGGTAAGTGAGGTAGAGAATAAATACTCTAAATTCACACAAGGTGGAGATCCCTTCCAGCTTGGAATACCTGAAAAGGCTTCGTGGAGAAATGGCCTTTGGACTGGGCTTCGAAGGACAGATAGGATTTAAAATTTAAGGGCAGAGAATGAGTATTGGAAGGAGGAAATGGAACAGGACAGGGAAAGCTTAGTTTGAGTGGAACTGAGGTATCATCAATATTGAGGTCTAGGCCTTGAAATCAGCCCCAAGCCCAGCCCTGCTGTGTACTAGTTCTGTAAATAGGAGCCAGATACTAAATCTCCAAGCCTCAGTTTACTCCTCCATAAAATATGGGGAGTAACTCTATAGCTTATAGATGTGAATAATGGCATTATCTGTTTCACAGGCTTATTGTGGAAATTAAATGAAATGTGTTTAGAACACTACTAACAAGGGAATAGCTGCATTTGGACATGTTGAGTTTACAATGCCATCAGCACATTCATATGCCAGGAAATGTGGAACTGGAGACAAGAAGAGGGGTCAGAAGAGTCATCTAACCAAACATGATAATTACAGCAGCCATGAGATTGGATGTGATTGTCAAAAGGAAAAGTGTAGAGGGAGAAAGGGGTCTCTAAGACCTTGGGCAAGTGACTTAACTTCTCTAAACCTGTTTTCTCATCTCTAAATAGGGGTGATAGCATCTATCACACAGAGTAGTTATGAGGAATAAATGAGACACTAGATAAAGCACTAGCATGGTGTCTGACACATAGAACCTCATGAAAAACAAAAAAGAAAAAATTCCATCATTATTATCATTATTAAAGGACTATAAACAAATAGTTTCTGGGAAAGAATGAGTTTCAAGAAGAAAGAAATGGTTATCAGGGTCATGCTGTTAAGGTTAAAGAAAGGATGAGAAAAGTACACTAACTGCTATAACAACTCCCAAAATGTAGAATCTTAAAAATAAAAGGTTTTTCTTACTTACACTGTAGTATAATGCACGTTTGAGGAGGGAGGCCTGTTCTACTCAGTCGCTTGGGACACAGGCTTCTCCCATTTTGTGGCTGTGCCCTCAGAGAGAGAGAGAGAGAGGGAGAGAGAGATTGAGAGATTTTAAGGAACTGGCACATAGTTGTGGATGCTGGCAAGTCTAAAATCTTCAGGGTAGGCCAGCAGCTGAAGACCCATGAAAGAGTTAATGTGTTGTTTGTTTGTTTTTACCGCTAATAAGACCTTCAACTCATTAGATGAGGCCCACCTACTGTATGAAAAATAATTTGCTTTACTCAAAGTCTACTGATTAAATGTCAACCTCATCTAAAAAAAATACCTTCACAGAAACATCTAGAATAATATTTGACCAAATATCTGCATACCGTGGCCTAGCCAAGTTGACACACAAAATTAACAAAATAGATTTCTGCTCCATTTGCTTCTAGTCAGATCCATGTAACACTAACCACACAAGTTCTTTCCTAGATAGACTTTTCAACCTGATATACTTACTTGCTTCTTTACCCCCTTGCCTCACTCTCAATGTAATGGTGGCTACATTAAAGCTGTGTGAATTAATAAGTGGGAAGGTCATGCTCTTCACCTGATATTTGCTTAAGAGGTGATCATATCTCTCAATTCCAGTGGTTCAAGACCTTTTTCAATCTTATATTATTTGTTGTCCAGAATCAGTCAGCTTTTCCCACCCTGAAAGGCCCATCACCGCTAGACTTTGTCTACAGGTTGAGGCAAAAGTAGGTTTACAGTTGTTCATATGGGAAATAATACAATAACCTTGGCTGGTGTGGCTCAGTGGATTGAGTGCCGGCCTGTGAACCAAAGGATCACTGGTTCGATTTCCAGTCAGGGCACATGCCTGGGTTTCAGGCCAGGTTCCCAGGATAGGGTGCACAAGAGGCAACCACACCTTGATGTTTCTCTCCCTTTCTTTCTACCTACCTTCCCCTCTCTCTAAAAATAAATACATAAAATCTAAGAAAGGAAAATAGTACAATAATTAATACACAATAATGATACAAGAATAAAATGTTTTGCGTACTCACAACTGTAAACCTACTTTTGCTCCACCCTGTATTTCCCTTCCATGTCTGTGTGAATATGAGCTAATTCTCACCTAAGTCCACCTCTTCCTTCTAGTACTTTATAAAGGAGCCTGTGCTAGTTATTAAGTTATTTTCTTTCAGCTCCAAACAATCCCTTCTACTTTTTGCTTTGGAGATACTGGAGCTGGAATTCTGCAGATACCATTTCTCTGCTTTGTCAGCAAGGTCTATGTTTGGCTCTGCCCATAAGGCCCACCAGAGGGAGCTAGTGAGTTCAGAGGAGGAAGAAAGGACTCCTGTTTGCTTCCTGTTCCTGTGAAGTCACCCCAGCAATGCTCCTTCACCCTGGCAACAGCAATTCCTTCCTGTAGCAGGAGCTGAATGCACTTTGCAGTTATTTAAAAAAAAAAAAAAAAAAAAAAAGATTTTATTTATTAATGCAAAGAGGGGAAGGGAGACAGAGAAACATCTATAGGTGGCCTCTCACACTCTCCCAGCTGGGGACCTGGATTGCAACCCAGGCATATACCCTGACTGGGAATCAAACCCATGACTTTTCGGTTCTTGGGCCAGCGCTTAACCCACTAAGACACACCAACCAGGGCCGCTTTGTTTTTCCCAACACTTGCAGAACGAGCTTCATAGTGTGCCCCTCAAAGACACCAGCACCAATGGGTAGCACCCTTTTTCTCAGAGGTATTGGTCTCTCTTCCAAGTTCAGATGTATCAGCACCAGACTTGGAGGTCTGAATGTCAACTCTGTAGGGCTCCTCTTCTAAGTGTCTAAGTTTTAGTAATTCCAAACTCTTTTCTTTGGCGTATCAGGACAAGTTCTCTTATCCCTGGGAATTATAGATGCTCCCTGCTATTGCTTCCCCATGAAATCTCAGAGTTTTCTTCTTACCCTTTCAGTTATCTAGTTAACAACTCTGTACTTAGTTAACCACTCTAACCATTCCTTATATTAAATTCTCTCTGTCCAATGGTTGCTGTCTCATTGGCTGGACCCTGACTGCCATAGAAATTGGTACTAATAGTGGTCCCTGGAAGTAGACCTCAAAAGATAGGATTAGGGAACTGGTTTGGTTGTGTCATTGAGTCTGAATGTGCTAAGCTCCTTGCCAATGAGGAATGTGATGCTTCTAATCCATGGCATGCTGTGGCATCATGATTAATCAAATTATCACCTGGGGTTATTTGTGATAAAGTGCCAACTAAAGCAACTGCCTTGGGGGCCCAAATGGTTGTTGCGCTTGACTGTTGTAGCAGTGATGATGATTACAGGGACTTGGTATGGGAGGAATCTTTCTGAATGTCCTTGCAGTAAATGACAAATTTGGGTCTTTAAACTCCTCCCTCAAGTCGTGGTAGAGAATCATAGAGATTCCATGATAGCCATGAAATAATCTCTTATTTCTTATAAAAAACCAGGCTTATTTGCTACAAATAAAGCATAAAATTATGCATGGTGCAGAGTTACATCAGTTTAATTTAGTCTTACTAAGACTTCTGTGATTGAGAAGGAGCGGGACTCTGAAACTTGGAATGGGGACATCTGGTTTGACTTTCTTCTACATTCTCAGTGCCCTCTTTTCTGCTAGCAGATGGGATGGAGAGCAAGGGCCAGCACCTGGGAGTTTTATGGGCCAGGCTGTCACTTCCAATCACATTCCATTAGCCAGAATTCAGTCACTTCTGTCTGTAAGAGAGTTGGGGGACTGTGGGCATTGGTGAATGAGCAATTTATGCCACACAAAATGGGTCACTAGGGACATTGAAGATAGAAGTTTTAGGAGAATGATGTAGACAGGATAAATTTTTAGAAGTTAAGAAATGAATAGGTGACCAGGAAATGGTAGCTGCTCTTTAATGTGACTCTAACAAGAGAGAAAAAATAAACCTGAAGCTAGAGTACAGAGGTAGCCAAATCCGGAAAACTGTTTCAGTTGTTGGTTTTTTAGCTTAGTTTTTCTTTTGAATTGATAGAGAGTTGAATATGTGTTTGCAGTCTCAGTGAACAGGAAGAGATATGACATGAGTGGACAGTTGGCTGTGGGCAGAGGGAGATCCCCATTTTAAATTTCTTTAAAAAATTATTGATCGATTTGAGAGAGAACATCAATTATGTTGTTTCACTGATGTTTGCACCTGTTGATTGATTCCTGAATGTGCCCCGACAGGGAACGAACCCACAACCTTGGTGTATCAGGACAAGCTGTAACCAACTGAGCTACCTGGCCAGAGCCAGTGGTCCACATTTTTAAGATGTGAGGAAAGGAAAGATTCAAAGAGAAATTATGAGGTAGAGAGAAGGGAAGCTGAAAATCAAGTTGGTTTCTGTGAAGTGACAAGGAACAAGACAATGTTTAGGGTTTCAAGAGAACCCAGTTGAGGTGAGACAGCAGAAATGTGTACTGGAACCAGTATGTCCAGTTTTGTGACTTTGTTCCATAGCCAGGGAGTGAGAGAGGAGAAAGCCCACAGTTTGGTTGACTCTTTCAAGGTGGGACTCATCAAATCCAGAATCTTTGGCACCAAGGGGGTGGCCTTGGACATGTGTACCAGTTAGTGATCCTTGAGGTTACTGTTGTTGCCTTTTCACTTCCCGTGGTGTATTTTGACTTCCTTCCTCTCTCCTACCCTAGTCTCCAGCTCTCCCTTTTCTTTCTTTTTTTATTAAGTTTTTCTTTTTTTTTTTTTTTTTTTTAAGATTTTATTAACTTACTTTCAGAGAGATGGGGAGGGAGAAAGAGATACATTGATGGGAGATACATCCGACAGGTTGCGTCTCATACGCCCCTACCCCCAGCTGGGGACCTGCCCTGCAACCCAGGCATGTGGTGACCGGGAATCGAACCAGCAACCTTTCAGTTTGCAGGCCGACAATCAATCCACTGAGCCACACCAGCCAGTGCTCCAGCTCTCCTTTTTCCTGTAGTTCTCCTTAGGTTTTCCAATAACCCCACCCTGGTGGACAAACCCTAAGGTGACCTTCAGTGATCCCCACCTCCTGGTATTCACAATTTTGTGTAATCCTCTCCTCTTGAGTTAAAGTGGGACCTGTGGCTTTCTTCTAGAATACGGCAAAGGTGATGGGATGTCGCCCCTGTTACATATACAGTTGACCCTTGAACAGTGAGGGAGGTGGGAGTGCTGACCTCTGTGCAGTCAAAAATCCATGTTTAACTTTTGACTCCCCCCCAATTTAGTAGTCCCTCGGTATCCATGGGGGATAGGTTCCAGGATCCAGGCAGATACTAAAATCCGTTGATGCTCAAGTCTCCTATAGAAAATGGCATACACCAATGCATATAGTCAGCTCTCCCCATTGTGGACTCCCAACTGTGGATGAAAAACAGTACATGAATTTACTGGGGGGGAAAATCTGTGTATAAGTAGACCTGTGCATTTTAAATCCACGGTGCTCAAGGGCCAACTGTGTAATAAGTTAGAGTATATAAAACTGTCTAGCAGCCTAGAGCTAGACTCTCTTTGTGGGCTTGATGAAGTAAACAGCCATGGTGGAGAAGCCCACATGGCATGGAACTTGCAGATGGCTGAGGGGCACCTCCAGCTGACAGCCTGCAAAAATCACAGGCACTCAGTCATACATTTCCAGGGAAATAAGTTCTGCCAACAACCTGAATGGGCTTGCAAGTGGAGTCTCCGGGAAAGAATGCAGCCTGGCTGACACCTTGATTGCAGCCTTCTCTGATACTCTAAGCAAAGGACTCAGCTAAGCTGCGTGGGAGCTCCCAACCTGGAACATGTGAGATAACGTGTGTGGTTCTAAGTCGCTAAATTTGTGGTAATTTGTTGCACATCAATGGAAAATGAATATACGGAGAATTCCTTAAAGACACTGGGGCCATGAGGCATGAACTCTCCATGAGGTGACACCTAGGATCATAGAGCTGGGTGAGGAAGGCCAGCGCATACGCCACACACACAACTACTGGGCACCTCGAAATTCAAGGCAGTAGTTAACAGGCCCCTAGCTCTCAAAGAAGATTGTGTCCCTACACCCACTCCTGCTTGCCCCGCAAAATGCCTACCCAGTCAGTCATCAAGAAATAGGTGAAGCCTGGCCCTGGAATTATAGATTGCAGAAGCAGATCGCGAAGTCCACCACCCCAATCTCGGCGCTTGGCACGGTGCCCGTCACACAGGGGACGCCCAACAACTGGTCTGCTTGAAAAGGAACAGAAAGCCCTCGAGCACGCATTTGCTGCCCCGTCATTGCGCAGAACGGACCGGGCCGGCTCAGGGGCCGCAAGGACTGGCCGGCGTCCTGCAGCGTGCCCGGGACCCAGCCGCGAGCCGGAGCGCCATCCCGGGCCCAGGCCGAGGGGGCGCTGCGGCGGGAGGCCGGGACGGCGGGGGCGGGGCGGGGCGGGGCCGCCCCCGGCGAGTGAGCTAGTGCCGCGCGCGCGCCGCCGCCGCCGCCGCCGCCGCCACCTCCGCTGCTCGGCCCGGTCCCGGTGCGGCGCGGCCGGCCCGCGGGGCGCGGAGCCTAGGCCCGCGGCCGGCCGCATGAAGGACTGCGAGTACCAGCAGATCAGCCCCGGGGCCGCCCCGCCGCCCGCCTCCCCCGGGGCGCGCCGCCCCGGCCCCGCCGCGCCGGCCGGTCCGGGCCCCGGGCCCCCACCGTCCGCCGCTGCCGCCGCACCGCGCTGGAGCGGCAGCGGCAGCGGGAGCATCGGCCTCCGTCCGCGGCGCAAGTGGGAAGTGTTCCCCGGCCGCAACCGCTTCTACTGCGGCGGCCGCCTCATGCTGGCCGGCCACGGCGGCGTCTTCGCGCTCACGCTGCTGCTCATCCTCACCACCACCGTCCTCTTCTTCGTCTTCGAGTGAGTTGTTGGCGGCGCCCCCGTCCCCGCCCCCTCAGGCGCCCCATCCCCTCCGGCGCCCCATCCCCTCCAGCCTCTTCCATCCCCTGCCGCGCACCCCACCTTCCCCAGCCTTTGATGGGCACTCCAGCCTCCCTGGGCCCCGTTGGGCACCTATCCCGTCCACTTCTCCGGGACTCCACCCTTCCCAGCACCTGCCAGGCAGCCTCCACTCCCGGCCCCTCTGGGGCCTGCATCCTCCCTGTACCTCTGAGTCTGCCCTCAGGCCTCCGCACATTGCGTATCTTTCATCCTTCCTCCCTGGCCCCCATCTGCCCTCCCAGCCACCTCACTCCCTGTGGCCCCGCCCTAGCACCCCATCCTTCCCTAGCACCCTGCTTTTGCCAGCAGCACTACCCTCCCATGTCCCTTGACCCGCATCCTCTCTGCCCTCTCAGAATCTGCCCCCTAGCTCTCCTTGGCTCCTTGGACAGATCCCCTCTCCTCGCTTATCCCCAGGACTGGCTCTGGCCCAGCACCGGGCTCTTTCTGACTTCTTGAGACATCTTTTCTTTATATTCCTTCCAGGTAACTTCTGAGTCCCTCCCATGGGCCTTTGGCTATGTGTTCCTCACTGCAGCCTTCCTAGCCACATTCCCCATTCCCTCCAGGGTCCTTCTAGGGTCCCCTTGCTCATCTCTACTCTCAGACCCTCTCCCCTTGCTTCTTCCTCATGGCCTGGGTCCTCAGGAAATCTCTCAAATATCTTTGGGCCTCTCTGGCCTCCTTTTCCCTCTCCAGTACCTTCCTTAGCTTCTCCAGAGCTTTCTGTCCTTCCTTAGTCTCGTCCTGTTCCCCACCAGACTTCTCTCAAGCCCCTGCCACACACCTCCTGACCTGGTTTTCTTAACCTCCTCAACTGTCGGAGCATCCCTCTGGCCTGTCCCATGGCAGGAATAGCTGTAGTGCCTCTTTATTTTTTAGTAGAGTCCACAGTACTTTTTTGTGTGTGACAGGTCATGTTTACCCGCATGAATTTTCACCTCTTCATATCCCCAGGATTGGCCCACATGGTACCCCCAGTTTATGGATGAGGGGATGCCTGTCATTTTACCAGGGTCACATATTTGTATCAGAAGTTTTCCACCCTACCATTGGTCTCTAGCTTCAGCCACTTCCTACGTGATTCCTTGCACGCACACATGTGCACACATACCCACACCCACCCCATGCTGTATGAGCTTCACTTTCCCTTCCTACTTCCCCCCACTTTTTTGTGGTCTGTCTTCGTTATACAGTGTAGCTAAGAATGCCATCTCTGGAGCCAAGAGACCTGGTTCAAATCCCAGGCCCACCACACACTAACTGTGAGACTTTGGGGCAGTCACTTCACCTCTCAGAGCCTCAGTTTCCTCATCTTTAAAATGGGGATTATAACAGCACCCAATCCCTAAGGTTGCCATAATGGTGGCATGAAAATCACACACTTAGCTTTTAGCCTACAACAAGAAGTTAATGCTGGCTGTTGCTGTTACTGTTGTTTTTGCCAAAAACCCCATCCCTGGGGCCTGTGCCCATGATGAACGAGGCTGCCACAAAGACACTAGCCTCCAGAGAACCCTTTCCAGATGCCAGATTATATATCTGCAACCTTGGGTTTTGTGCCCCTGCCTTTTTTTTTTTTTTAATCCTCACAGGGGGATATGTTTATTGATTTTAGAGAGAGAGGAAGGGGGAGAGAGAGAAAGAGAAAGAAACATCGATGTGAAAGAGAAACATTGATCATTTGCCTACTGCCCTGACCAGGAATCTAACCCACACCCTGTTGGTATAGGGGGACAAGGCTCTAACCAACTGAGCCACCCAGCCAGAACAGGTTTCCCCTTGAAGCAGGGTGAGGAGTGCTTACCACTTAGCTTCTCCCTTTCACCCTTGCTTTCTGAGTCAGTATGGGGACAAAGTTCTGGGATAGTTTTAGCAAACAAGCTCTCAGGAGCCCCCAGCAGTGCCCCTCCCCCCACTCCCCTCTCCCACATCTCTGGGCTGAGTTTCAGATCTGTGTTGCTAAGACAGCCCACAGGGGCGTTTTGAGAATGTGTTTTCCAGTATCCTGCCCAGGTCTTCCCACCAGGGCTGCAGCAAGGGCAGGAGGAAGCAGTGCTTACCATGGGTTGGCCTCGTGACTTGCAATGTGGGATTTGGTCAGTTCAGAAGCAGGACATTATCTGGGCTGAGTGGGTGTCTTCACTGGTGACAGGCTTGTCCCCAGAGAGGGAGGAAGCAAGGACTTTTGAGTTTGGGGAGACCTTATGAAACATCTTGTCTTTCTCTTTGCTCCTCCTCATTTGGGGTGGTAGACTTGGCAGGGGAGTTTGGGTTTGGGCCGAAAGCTCTCCTCAGTCTGGATTGGGGTGAAAGGCACCCCATTCAATTGGCAGTTGGCATGTTGGGAATGTTGTTGGTGAGGGTGTGGAGGATGAGAGGTGCTATGCTCACCTATTGCTCTGGGAAAAGGGAAAGGTGGCTCTCTAGGTCCTTCCTGCTGAGAATAGTTTCGCTCCATGGTTTGGTTTGGCGGGTTATTGCACAGGCCTCCAAGCAGGGTTTCTGCCCTGTTTCCCACCCCAGAGAGCAGCCGGAGTGCACCTTTAATTGTAAATCAGACCTGAGTCCGCCCTGGCTCTCAGGATCAGGGCCAACTCTCTGGTAACGGGCTTCACTGGGTTTCCATCTCCTCCTGCTCCCCTTGTGCATTCCCCTTCAGGCACATGGGCCTCCTTGCGCACTCCTACCCCAGGTCCTTACACCTTTCGGTGGTAGCCTCCAGGCTCACTCTCAGCTGTCCTTTCCTGACCATCCCTATAATAGAGCAAATGAGTCCCTGTCCTTCGTTCCTTCTGCCCTGACTTACTGTTCTCATCTGACACACCATATGTATACTGTGTGTTGTTTTGTGCCTTTCTCCATGGGAGTAAGACTCTATTCTCCTCACTATGTATTCTTAGTGCCTAGAACAGGGCCTGCTGTGTAGTGGACACTTGATACAGTAAATATTTATTGACTAAATGGACAGAACATTTGCTGGGAGCCCAAAGACCCTCAGTCCTGTCCCTGGCTGGGTGACCTTGTATCTGGCTGTGGGTTTTGGAGTTCCCCTTTGTAAAATCAGGGGGTTGGGACTTGGTGTTTCTGAAGGCTCTACAAGTCTCCGATTTCAAGTCTTTATCCCCCAGGAAGCCTGGTTGAGCTGTCATGTGGGTGCCATGGAGAGCCTCTGTTTGAGGTTCGGATCTGGGGAGTAGATGTTTGGAGCGGAATGCGTCTCACTGGAGCCCTTGGCCTTGACAGTCTCCGCTCCTTAACGGGTGGTCCTCTCTGGAGGCCAGAGCCTCCAGTGATGGAGGCTCCAGAAAGAGCACGTAGGTGCCCACAGGTTTGCCTCCTGCTATTATGTTAGCTCCTGGAACCTTGACTGATTCGGACCTCCCAGCTGCTAGTCATCCCCCAAAGAACAGCTCCTCACCCCATCAGATGCCACTATGGCTCTGGGAGGGAAGGGGACAGAGGACAGTGATGAACAATATGGTTGGGCCCCAAAAGCAGTCCTGGGCACAGGGTGTTCTGTAAGCCAGCTGGGGTCAGGGGCCTGGCGGAACTGACTCGGGACACCAGCCTTTGGGTAACAGTGTCAGCGACTGGACCGTGCTTTTCTCCAGCCCACTTCCCCTGGCTAATGCTACTCATTCCTCTGGCGTTAGCTTAGGCCTCTCGTTAGCCAGCCTGTTTTCCTGACTGTTCTGCCTTCCCCTTACAATTATAGCCTGCAAGGCAGGCTCTGTGTGACAGTTCTCTGTTTACATATCTGTTCTCCTCACTAGATCATAAGCCTCACTGAGGGAGCAGGGGACTCCAGCCTTATCCCTGCCAGTATTCCTGCTTCTTATTGAAGGTGTCGCCTGGCACTTAGAAGGCCTCAGTAAACATTTGTGGAATGAGTGACTGACTGACTGTCATGGATGGTTCATCTCAAGTGACATCCCAATTAATTGGTAGTAGCTGCCTGAATCTGTGTTTAGAAGGAATCTGAGGCTGCAGCAAAGTGTAGGGGTTAAGATTGCTGGAATCTACTTATCGTATCTGCCTTGGCTCAGGGTGAAAGTGCAAAGATTAATTAGTGATGTCAGGCACTTATTGGGGAGTGGCTGCCGCCTCCAGGGAGAGGCTCCATTCAAGAATGTGGCAGTATTTGCCGGGATGACAACACCTGCCTATAGCCCTGTGCCCAGGGAGCCCTGGGGGTAGCTGCTCATTTCTCTCTCCCTCTCTCTGTAGCTGTCCCTTCCTGGCCCACCAGCTGACCCTTGCCATCCCCATCATCGCTGCCATCCTCTTCTTCTTCGTCATGAGCTGCCTGCTGCAGACAAGTTTCACCGACCCTGGGATCCTGCCCCGGGCCACCGTCTGTGAAGCAGCCGCCCTGGAGAAACAGATCGGTGAGCCTCCTACTTCACCTGCAGCTGTGTCCCCCAGGTCCATGTGCCCTGATTTGAGAGGAGGCTTGGTTTTCTCTTCCCAAACTGTTAGGAACTAGGGGTCCAGTATGAGCAAAGCAGGCGGAAGCCGACATGAGAATGGAGGAGACAGATGCTAAATGAGTGTGCAGATAAATAAGAAATGCTAGCAGGTGAAGGCTGTGTTGGCAGCCAGCATAGTACTGAGTGCTTCCTGGGTGCCAGGCACTGTTTTCACCTCTTTATATGCACAATCTTATTTGATTAATCAATAATCTTATGAGGTAAGTACTGTTATTTGCCTTTTACTAATTAAATCGAGTCTCAGAGAAGTCAAGTAAATGGTCCAGGATCACACAGTAAGCAGAAGAGCTGGGATGAGACCCCAAGCAGTCTGGCTAGAGCTCCTGCTCTTAAACATTCATATACGTTTATTCATTTACTCATCAAACACTTATTGAGTCCCTCCTGTGTGCCAGTTTTCTAGATGCTGACAATACAGCAATGAACAAATCTGACAATAATCTGCACTCTCGGATCTGACATTCTAGCGGTGAGAATAAAACAGTAAACAGCAATGAAAGATCTAGGATGTGAGACAGAGAAGAGGAAACCAGGGAGGTAGGCTGAGAGCCGGGGAGGGTGTATGATTTTAAATAGGGTGGTCAGGGAAGGCTTTGTGAATGAGGTGGCACCTGAGCAAGGAAGCAAAGACCTGCAGAGATGAGGGATTGAGCTGCGTGGGGACCTTGGGGAAGAGCACAGTAGATAAGTAGATATGGGGAATGGGCTAACTTAGATTAGGTGGTCAGTGGAGGCCTCTAGGAGGAGGTGGCACTTCAGATGAGCCCTCAATGGTGCAATGGAGCCAGTAATATGTGGTGTGTAAACAGTAGAAGCAAAAGCCTGGAGTTGCAAACAGATTGGTGTGTTCGAAGAATGGCAGGAAGGCCATTATAGCCAAAAAGGACCTGTGCTCCTGAGCACCCCGGATGGCCCTGGATTCCTTACAGTGGGCATCCTCCAGGGTGACTGGGCAGCAGGCGGCCAGGGCCTTAATCTCGGCTTACTCCACCCCAACTCCTTCCTGCTGAGAAGTGACGTCGGTATTTGCACACCTCACTGGTTTCCGGTTTGTGGTTGGCTCCTTCCCCTAACCTGGTGGCTTCCAGACAAGCTTTAAAATACCCATTTGGCCCTGAAGAGACCTGTGGCCTATAAATGTCAGAACCCTGCTGCACCCATCGCAGGAAGTCATTCCATTAATTCTCTGCAGCAGCTTGGGAGGGTAGTGGAGGGGAGAGGATGTTCTCTTGCTCTGTCTGTTCTTTGTCTCACACTCTGCCCAGGCCTGCCCTCAGCCATGCCCTTGGTTGCTCTCTTCCTCCTGCTTCCTTCCCCCTGGCATCCCTCGGCCACTTGGCCTGCTTTCTGCTCTGTTAGAACCCCAAGGTCTGACCTGGACCAGTCTGCCTGGCAGTGGGAAGGCTCAGCTGGAGCCCCATTTCTCCTCCTTTCTGGTTGGGGCTAATTGGGAGGCAGGATTATTGCCCAGTGCAGCCTGGGCTGAGGGGTCTGGCCGCCTGGAATGCTCTGCCTCCTCTGAGCTGTCCGGGTGATACTGCCAACAGTAACCGTCTACGTTTGGAGAGGGCTTGACCATGTGCTGAGGGCCTTCCATCCATTATCCCCTCAAATCCTCACAACAGCCGGCTCTGCCGATGCAGAAACTGAGGCAGGTGATTACAGGCCAGAGGGTGGAGGAATGGAGACAGAATATGTGCCTTGACTCCCAAACCCCTTGCCTTCTCTTCTGAGATGGCCACATCCCTGCATCCTCATGTCTCAGCTCAGGTGTCCCATGCTCTGGGAAGCCTTTGTGACCCCAGTTGGGCCACACCTTCTGTGACCCATTCCCAAAGCACCCTGTCCTGCCATTTGGTCCTGTGCTTCATGGTGGTCATAACGGGATTGTCAGGCAGGCTCAGTAGCCTTTTCTAGACAGTGAGTGTCTTGTTCACCTTGTCTGCTACATGGACAATGTATGAGCCTCCTTGCTGTCCGCATGTGATTGTTGGAGAGACAGTTGGAACTTCTTCCAATGAGGCATTATGGGTTTGATCATTTATGTGTTGATTCCATATGCTGACTCCTATGTGTGTGTGTGTTAGGGGACAAAGATAAGCCCGACTGGCCACCACAGGTGAAATCAGGCTTTGGAAGAGGATCAGGGAAGCCAGGAGTATCTTCTACCTGGAGGATATGGGGAGGCTTCACGGAGAAGTGCATTGAGCCAACTCATCAAGTTTAGGTGGAGTTCAAGCACAGGAAGATGAGTGAGGGGAGTCCTTTAGGCTGGAACGGAAGAAGGAGAGAGCAGAATGGGAAGAAGGGAGACAGGCATGGGACTCTGATCAAGCCATGTCTGCTGGAATACGAGGAGCACTTCAGAGAATTTGGGACATTCTCACTGGAGGATGGGGTGGAGGCAGTCTTGTGGGGACCCCATGTCAGGGTTGGAGACTCCTTTGAGAATAGTTGCCATGCCTAGAAAGTGGCATCTTTGGGGGCTTTAAATTCTCAGACTTGAACAGGAGGCTTCCAGTCAGGGTGAAACATTTTCTTGGAAAGGACTAAGGTCACTGAGCCTTTCTGTGAAGGTTGGGGTCTGGCTCAGAGGTTGTGATGCTCTTTCATATAAACGTGAACTGATTGCCTGGGCATGGGTCTGTGCAGGCTGTGCCCTTCTCACTTTGGCCCCATAGGCCAGTGGCTCCAGCCCAACAGGATCTGGCCTAGGGCTCCCACCCCACAAGTACGGTCTGAGGTTGGATGACCAGGACCTCCCAGTTTTCCCAGGACCGTGCCTGTTTTAGCACTAAAAGTCTCCTATTTTGGGGAAACCCCTCAGCTGCAAGCAAACCAGGCCTTTGGTCACCCTGATCTGATATCCTGACTTGTCAGCTGGCATGCCATGCAGCCGGATCACCCTGCAGAGCCACCCAGAGCCCAGGCACACTGGGCAGTTGGGAGAGAGGTAGGAGGTTAGAACATTGGCCCATAAAGCTCCTGGTGTTATGGGAGATGATAGAAACATCTAAAGCCGATTGACAGGCACTCATCTAGACGGTCACAGCGCACAGGACAGACACGAATGCCTCCTCTTCCTCTGCCAGCACATGGCAGATCACAAACCCCATACTGGATCCCTCCCCTCCTGTCCTTCCACAGCCCGGGACCGACTTCACCCCGATGGACTCTGCTCGCCAGGCCTGGACACCTGGCTGCTTCTTTCAATCATGGCTGTCTCTCCAAGACATAAATTTGACTCTGGCTTTCCATGGCTCAAAATTTGGGTGACTTCGTAACACCCTCAGTAGCATTTCCTAAAGATCGATCCGTGGAAAATAACCTTTGTGACTTTTGCCCTTTCTGCATCTCGCCGTGTTACTTCATTTCTTTAGTATTTTCCTTTAAATGGCTTGCTTTTAAATGTAATTTACAAGGAAGCTTTGTATCACCCCTGTGAGCAGAAAGCCCCTTGTTCTGCATAGAAGATAAGCATGAAAACAAAAACCTAACAATGTCAGGGAATTTTTGGTGGTTGCAGTTGCCTGCTGAAAACAGCCACTTGGAGGCCTGTGAGGATCACAGGTATTAAATATTAAAAGCTGAGGCTTGCCATTGATGGAATGAAAGGCTTGAAAGAGAATTGAGAAGGGAATAACTTGGCCTTCTTCTTTCCGCCATCTTGAAGCCTGTAGAGGCTACAGGAGTTCTATGATGACAAATATGTCTGGAAGGCCGTGGTCCAAAGCCATTTTTGCCGGCTATAAGCAGGGTCTCCAGAACCAGAGGGCTCTTCTTAAAATTAAAGGTGTTTGTGCTTGATATGAAACTGAGTGCTCTCTAGGCAAGGGGTGTGCTCATGTGTATAAGCAAAGAATAACACAGAGACTCCTGGTGATAAACTGAACAAAGCCAGAGTCATCTGGGGAAAGGGAACTTGTGTGCATGGAAACAGTGGACAGTTCTTGCTAAATTCCAAAGCAGCCTTCCTGCTAAGGCCATTGGACACAGAATCCATGTAATGCTGTGCTCCTCAAGGATTTAAATTTATTGAAATGTAAATAAAAAGAATTTGTTCTCCAAAGGAAGGGAGTGAGGGTTAACTTTCTCATCACACGATTCAAGGTTGCTTTGTGTCATGGCCAGAAACAAACTACAGTATCTTGTGTCTTCCTGAAAACTCGCTTGTCTGTAGAGGTGCACCTGCCTGCAGGACCAAGGCAAGCTCCAGCCTGCCCTTCCCCCGTCTGCTGCCACTCTCCAGTGCCCCCAGCCGCGCCTGCAGTTAGTTAATGCCTCTCTGCCTTTGCTCACTGCCATGTCCTCCTCCCCTGGAGGGCCCAAGGAATTGTTTTTTCTGATCTAGCTTAATTACCTTTCTTTCTTTCTTTTTTAAGATTTTATTTATTTAGTTTTAGAGAGAGGGGAAGAGAGGGAGAAAGAAAGGGAGAAAAACATCAGTGTGTGAGAGACACATCAATCAGTTGCTTCTCTCATGCCCCCAGCTGGGAACCTGGTCCACAATGCAGGCACATGCCCTGAGTGGGAATTGAACCAGTGACCTCTCAGTTCAAAGGCTGGTGTTCAGTTCACTGAACCACACTAGCCAGGGCACAACTTGCTTTCTTGAATGCTGCCTCCTGCCCAACCCTACATATTGTCCTCTGTTTTCTCACACTATTGAACCTAGGCACCAGTTAATACTGTTAATTTTCTAGCTATAGGTTGGATTTCTCCATTATATCATCTCTAACTTGCGTTGTCATCCTACAATGTTGATAAGGTTGAGGAGACTGAGGCTCAGAGAGGTTGAGCAACTTCCTCAAAGTCACGAACTAACAAGCGGCCACGGAAAGTTTCAAAATGAGGTCAGGCTGGCCCCAGAGTCACCACGCTTGACTCACAGTGCCTCT